AGGGGAGGGCCCACCAGTCTCTGGGGAAGAAGTCCCTGGCTCTTCAGCCGGGGCAGTGGAGGGGGGGGGGGCAGACAGGGGCCAGCTTGTGAACAAGACCCGGGGACAGAGGGCCCACACTCTTCTTTGGGGCCGGGGCCGGAGCAGCAAGGCCCGCACTCGAGGGGGGAACCTGGGGGGAGGGCTCACCTGGAGTCTCCCAACCCCACAGGCAGGCAGGCAGGCAGCCAAGGCACGAGGGGGCACACACAGAGAGCACATCTTTGGTGTGTGGGGGGGGAGAGAGACCCCGGCAGAGTCCAGGAAGGGCTTTATCCTCCCCACCAAAAAAGGCACATGGCAGGCAGCCGCAGGGAGAGAAGGGAGGAGGGAGGGAAGGAGGGGCCCCAATCCCCCTGGGGCAGCCAAGGAGCAGCTGAGGCCAGCCGGGTCTCTCCGGAGGCGGCTTCTGGGGCATCACAACTCTGGAATGAAAGAGAGAAGGAAAAGGAGCAGTTTCAGTTCAGGGTGGGGGGGGGGAGCTCTTTTCAAAGGGTGCTCCAGAAAAGACCCACGGATCCTGCCCAAGAGCGCACACTGGCGGACCAAGCCCATCCTCCTCCTCCACACCTTCTGGAACGCAATTCAGACACAAGATGTAACAAAACGGCTGACGGAACCTCCCTGCAGGCAGAACGGATCCAGAGGCCGCAGAAGAAAGCACGTGCCCTGCTGTGGCACCCTTGGAGGGATCGGCCCCCGCACCCTGGACAAGCCTCCCAAAAAATATGGGGGGGGAAGGGGGAGGACTCGATGCAGATGTCTAAGCTAGAGGCCTGGGACAAGCGCCCAGGAGTCCGGCGGCACCGGACAGGCCTGCGTCCTGCCATCGCCCCTACTCCTGATTCCGCCGCTACAAACTAAGAGGGCGAGAGCGCCGGAAAAGACAGGGGGGAGAAAGGGCCTGGCCCCTTCCCCAACAGATTCAGGCATCCCTGACGCACCCCCCCTCCCCATCTGGAAAACGGAACTAGGGAGCAAACTCCTCTCCCTTCCCCTCCCCACAACAGACAACCTGGGAGGCAGGTGGGGCTGAGAGAGCTCTGAGAGAACTGTGGTTTGCACAAGGTCATCCAGCAGGTGCAAGTGGAGGAATGGGGAATCAAACCCGGTTCTCCCAGATTAGAGTCCGACTCCGCACACTTAACCACGACGCCAAACTGGCTCTTGAAGGAAGCTTGAAGCAGGACTGGAAAGGGGAAGAGTTGGCTGGGAGGGAGGCCCAAGCCCAGGAAGGGGAGGACTCTTGTTCGCCGTGGGGTGGGCACCAAGTGGAAATGCAGACCCCACAGAAAACGGGCAGCTTGCCTCAAGTTACAAAACATTTCCTGGTTGAAAGGGGACAGAGGAACAGGGTCCACTCGCGGTCCAGACCAGGCTGTGGCCAGGTGGGGAGGCGCAACAGGAAGACAACTCTTTAGCAGAGCCAGAGAAATCCGGCCCAGAGACACCCCCGGGGCCACCGCAGGCAGGGCCACGGTACAGATTTCGACAAATTTAGGGGACCGGTGACTTAAGGTGTGCACCATTTCCACAATGTCAAGGGGCTAACCCACCCCAGAGCAGGAAAAGAGATGCCTGAACAATCCTGGGGCTGGGAGGGGGGGAGACAGAGCTTCGGGTGGCATTTGGGGTCACGGTAACCACCCAAAACGACACCCATCAATCGCAGAGGTTATTTTGGGTCCCCAGTTTGACTCAGAGGGCTACGCCCAAAGACTCGCCAGTGTGGCCTCCTTCGACAACAGCTGAAGAGCAGCCCCCTCCCTCATTAGCCTACCTCGCAAGGCTGTTGTGAAACTTAAGACAGGAAGACAGGCAGGGGTCATTTCCTGCTAGAGCACCCCGGAGCGGCGCTCCGGCAGTAAGGAGCCCCGACCCCCGGCCTTTCCTGGCTGCTGGTGGAGAAACGGGGGGGGGGGGGGTTTGAATGCAAGGCATGTTTGCCTCCCTGCCCTCCCCTTCTCCAGCCCGCCCGCCTCTCTGCCTTTGCATTTTAAACATGCCTGCCCTTTGTCAGGGGGTGTGGCATATGCAAATGAGTTCTGCAGATGAGCTCCTACACCTCTTTTTCTAGGAAATGACCCCTGAAGACAGGCGTCTCCTTTGCCATAGAACAGGCGGCCCGATCTTCTCTCTGCCCAGAGCTTCCTTCCCCTCCCTAACCCCCACTGTCTCCCCCGCTCAAGTGCCGGCCTGCTCCCTCACCGGCTTGCTCAGGGCCTGGCTGGCATCCACGCAGCTCCCACGGGCGGTGGAAGTCGATGCTGGCATACGTGTGGAGGGCCCCGCCCTGGCTGGGGATGGCGGCAGCGGCACGCAGTGGGGGCCCCCCCTCCGCCCCGGCCTCCTTCACCAGGTCGAGGTCAATATAGTTCAGCCCTGGCTCAGTCCCGGCCTCGCAGGGCTGCACCCCGTTCTGCTCCACTTCAGGGAAGGCTTCCGGTCCGTGGTGTCGCCTCCCTGGGGCGTCTGCTCGCACCAGACGGGTCATCGGCACCGCTGCACCATCGCCAGGAGGCCCCGCCACCTCGCTGACCTCCGCCGGCACGGCTTGGAGCTCCAAGTGGACACAGCTGGGGGCTCGGGGGCCGTATTCGAGGCTGATGTACTCGCCGGAGCTGCGGGGTGCGGCCGGTGTGGCTCTGCCCCCCACCAGGAGCCTCGGAGGAGGACGGGCCGAACACGGGGCGCCCACCCACTCCTCCAGGCTGTCTGAGCTGGTGGACGAGGAGCTCGAGAGGCGCCCCGGGTGGAAGGGGAAAGAGAGCGGCCTCCCCCCTCGCCTGTAGGAGCGCGGCAGGGAGTAGAAGGGCGCGGCGCCGGGAGGGGCCAGCAGGGGGCTGTACTCGGGCGGGGTGCTGGAGGCCGAGCGGCTGAGGGGGGACATGTTCACGTAGTCGCTGGCCAAGGAGCCACCCCCCCCGCCGCCCAGCACCCACTCCCGCCGCTCTCCTGGGGAGGGGAGGCGCTGCTCGGGGTCATCGGGATGTAGGCCTGGCCCTCCGCACTGCGGGCCACGCCGGGAAGCATGGCCATGTAGCTGGGGTCGGTGCTGCGGTTGAGGCCCTCCGGGTAACTTGCCGAGGCGGCGACCGGCTTGAGGGCCCGCTTCCGGTGGGGCAGGCTGCCCTTCTCCAGGGCCAGGGGGGGCAGCGAGGCCCGCTTGTTGGGCCCCACCCCCCACCCGGCCAAGCCGCGCCCGTCCGGCAGAGCCCGCTTGCCCATGGCAATGTAGTCCAGCTCCCCCTCGGGCACCAGGTCACTCAGCCGGTCGGGAGTGTTGGGCGGGCGTGAGTCGCCCGGGCTCGATCCCCCTTCGTCCGAGGAGACCACGCTGTAATCGCTCAAGGAACCCGGCTTCTGCAGCCCGGCCCCCTTCTGCCCGGGGGGGCCGGGGCTCCTGCTCACGGCGGAGGCCCCCGGGGGGCGGGGTCTCCAGGGGAAAGCGGCCTGGCCGGGCGGGGGCGTGCTGAGGGGCGGGTGGCGAGGGGGCACCGAGATGGGCGGGGAGGCCAGGGGCTGGCTCTTGCTGCGGACGCGGAACTCCTCGCTCAGGGCCTTCATGGCCTCCAGGATAGTCTCGTGCATGTTCTGGGCCACCACCAGGTCATCCACCTGCATCCAGAGCTCCCCGGGGCCCGTCACCGCCGAGCGGCCCACCTCCATGAAGAAGTAGTTCTCCGAGTGGCCGCAGCGCCGGACGTTGAGCAGCTGCAGGACCACGGCGGCCACGTCCGTGTTCAGCTTCACAAAGCTGATGGTCTTGTCGGTCAGGCAGAGGAGGTAGGTGCCGGCCAGGCGCTTGGTGTGGCCCAGGCCTCTGGGACGGAGGCTGACCTGCCAGGCTTCCTTGAACGCTGGGCCGGAGAGCGCCGGGTCTCCATCTCCGTCCGGGGATGCTTTCCCTGCAAGAGGAGAGAAGAGAAACGTCGCCTGAGCAGGAGGCGGTTGGGGAGAGGGGGCCGTGTGGCTCAGTGGCAGGGCCTCTGCTTGGCACCCAGAAGGCCCTCAGTTCAATCCCCGGTGGCATCTCCAGTCAAGGATTGGGGCACAGGTGCTGTGGAAGACTCTGGCGAGCTACAGGAGGTCTGATTTGGTAGAAGGCAGCTTGTTGGGCTTAGCAAGTCAAAGCACTTCAGTAATTATAGTTACGGTAACTTTGTGTGAGTCACAAAGCTCATCCTTTGAATAAACCTCTGTTGGTCTTAAAGGTGCTTGACTGGACTCTGAATTTGTTGTCGGAGGTATGAGTAAAGGGACCTGACCCTGTAGCTTTGTGAAGGGAAATCAATGTATTGGCTGTTTAGCACCAGTGTTCCCCCTAAGCTGAGTTAGTGTGAGGTGGCTCAGTGTTTTAGCCTCCGGCTCACACATTTTTGTCTTAGCCCAGAAAGGACGTGACTCCAGAGCAAACTGATTTACGCAGCAGCCAAATCGCTGGCTCACAACTTTAACGCCAGGAGCTCACCAAGTAGAACTTTTGCTCACAGGAATCCACAGCTTAGAGGGAGCATTGTTTAGCATATATTGGGGTCTCTTTTACTGCCTTGTGGAGAAGACACGTTGCCATTCCTACAGAATCTCCCTCGCTGTAAAGATGTAGGAATCTGGCATTTCTTGTTTGCATCCTGTTCACCGCCCCCCCCCCCATGGTTAAGTTCTAGAAAAGTTTTTTCTATTTTTCAAACTCAGGCTCTCTCACTCCTCACTCTGCTGATTTAATCGCTGCTTCACTATATTCTTCTAAGAACACCGATCACTGCTCCAGGCGTTTATTTGACGGGGAACACGGGGAAGGAGCCGTGACTTTGTGGAGTGCCACCTCCCTCAGCGGGCTTCTTCCGGGGAAGACCGGGCGGAATCTGGGGGGGAGGGGCCCTCCAGCTCCAGGGGAGACAGAACGACCCTGCAATCCCAAAGGATGTCCCCAGGTGCCTCTAAGGCAGAGGAGTGAAAACAAATCGGCCAGTATCATAATGCCCCTAGATAAATCAATGGTGTGACCTCATTTGAAGTACTGTGTACAGTTCCGGTCACCACACCTCAAAAAGGGCAACTCGAATGATCAAAGGGTTGGAACACTTTCCCTATGAGGAAAGGTTAAAGCGCTTGGGGCTCTTTAGCTTGGAGAAAAGACGACTGAGGGGTGACATGATCGAGGTTTATAAGATTATGCATGGGATAGAGCAGGTAGAGAAAGAAGTACTTTTCTCCCTTTCTCACAAGACAAGAACTCCTTGTGGGCACTCCATGAAATCGCTGAGCGGTCGGGTTAGAACGGATAAAAGGAAGTCCTTCGTCACCCAAAGAGTGATTCACACATGGAATTCACTACCACAGGAGGTGGTGGAGGCTACAAGCACGGATGGCTTCAAGAGGGAATTAGATAAGCATATGGAGCAGAGGTCCATCAGTGGCTATGAGCCACAAGGGATAGACAGGAACTCTCAGTCTGGGGCAAGGGATGCTCTGTATTCTTGGTGCCTGGGAGGGGAGGTCAACAGTGAGAGAGCTCCTAGTGTCCTGGCCCCACTGCTGGACCTCCTGATGGCCCCTGGTATTTCAGGCCACTGTGGGACAGAGTGTTGGACTGGAGGGGCCATTGGCCTGATCCAACATGGGCTTCTCTTATGTTCTTATGAGTGGTTTATATCAAAGACTTCTCACTCCCCCCCCCAACCATGCAGCGGGGGGTGGGGTCTGCTTAATTCGGTTGCTCCTCCTCTGGCAGGCCCCAGGACCCCAAGGCAGCCCCACCGTGCCCAGCCTGCCCCAAGAGGTGAGGAAGCACAGAGGTCCAGACCAGCACCTCAGATGGGGTCCCCCAGCCGTCCTTCTGGACAGGCCCCAGCAGTGCAGGCCCACCTCTGGCCAGGAGGGGGCTCCACTGAGGATACCCCCAGAACCCCCTGCCCGGGGGG